AAGCACCCTTGCTACACCTCACCAAAAGTCTTTTCCTATCATTTTTTTCAAAACACAATTGATATCCATTAGCTACAGCATAGTTGCACAACATTGATTTTACTTGCCCTCGACCCTTAAATCTCATCCCTAGAATTGGTTTTTGTTTTTTACAGTGTAATAGCTCATTAAATATGGAATGAATTTGAATGTTAACTTCAAATTCCCTCCCATTATCATCATCTACAATGTTGTTATCTTCCTCATCATCAACACATAACTTACTCAAGAAAGGATCATTTGATGTCCTATTTATATGCACTACATCCTCATTAAATTCAAAGGCAACATTCCTAAGTTCATCTATGTTATCTTCCTTTTCACCATCAATACAAGACTCATGTTCATCATCATCATTATCTTCATCATCAAGCCACCCATCAACACCAACCCCAATATGATCCACATAAACCGAAATTACACCATCTGTTCCATAAGCATCAAAAATAAAAGCAACATATCCCACATCATCTGAAATGGGATTAAGCCCTTCCATCAGGGAATTGCCTGGATCACAGTAGTAAAACTTTTTACACTCTTCTTGCGTGAAACGTTCGCAGAAGGTCACAAACTCATAATAAGTCATAGAAGAAAAGTCGACATCATTGAATATGGTTTTAACACCACCAGTATAAGAGAAAGGATTTCAATTAAATACCCCTTGGTAGTTGAGTTCCACCATCGCAAACACTCCATTAGGTTCCGATTGTTCCATTGCTGCGACTTCTTTGTTTCTTCAGCTCGATCACAGGAAAGCTTCACAAACCCTAAATCAGTTTCTTTTACAGCTAGAATAATGAAGACGAGTGAAGTTCGATAGCTGAAGACGAAAGCTTTAAGCTTCGTATATCATTAATTGACGTGGCATATCTCACATGGCATCGGATTAGACAAAAAAATATATATTAATTGACATATATAAAATGCCAACCGGGAAACCGTTTAAAAATAGATAAAATGACTAAATTAATAGGACAATTACGAGTTTAGTCGTCTAATGTACCAAAAAAAAACTTTAATGACCAAATTAGTCAAATGTAAAAAGTTTCATGTGCTACAGGACATTACACCTCCATTTTTATATTTTTATATTTTTATCTAATAGTTTATATTTTTGGCTTTTTATCTAATAGTTTATATTTTTATATTTTTATATTTATCTAGATTTTGTTATAGGTGTTGTGTGTTCCTTACACCTCCATTGGATCTTATCCATGTATCTGCTTCTGGTTCTTCTAGATTTGCATCTTCTTAGCTACAATTAGATCATGTCTTAACTTTGATTTCTGATAGAATTGTTGTGATAATTCTAATTGTATGACTGCATGTATGTATGGAGGCTTTACTTATATAATAGCACTTACGTGCACAAGGATGGTGTTAAACCAGACTCAGGTGGCACTCAAAGGCTCAAGGGGTCAAGGGTGGGGTCTGTACGTGACAAAACATGGATATTATGAAGTCAAAAGTCTGAAAAGTTATCTGATGTTATATGTGAGCAACATGTAGATAAGATTTGCACTATGAGTTTATTATGTTATTAGGTATTTAATAGGTTTGTATAGTTGCCCTTAGTATTTCGGTTCTTTGTGGGTGATAAGGTGTATAAACAATAAGTATTATTAAAAGAATAAAAAAATCATTTCCCTATTCTTGATGCAAGAAAAAAAAATGATACTACATTATGTTCCAGTTGAAACAAATTGTTTAGCATGTATATTAAAATAATAATAATAATAATAATAAAACACATGCCGCAAGTACTGAAATCGGAGGTTAAAACAACATAATTATGTGAAACGAGATAACCACCGTAGAAATACTAAAAAAATGTGTTATATATTATGAATATAGAGTAATTATTGTTTGTATGAACTTATTACATATTATGTTAATTTAAATTATTAATAATATTTTAATTAAATATTCTATTTCATTTATAAAAGTTTATCAAATGAACATATAGTTATTTTATCTAACATCATTTTTGTCATTTAGGGTGTCTTGTCGTATAATATCACAATTTTTCCATGCCATGTCGAACGTTTTTATTGGTTTATATCATTTTTATTTTTAACTAAATTTTATAACTCATAACTTATAATTTATTTTTAAAGATTAAAGAAAAATAGACAAGAGTTCATTATTTATTTTTCTGATATAAAATATTGTTATATCCGTTTTTATGATTTGTATTGTTTTAATATGATAAAGAAGTTAGGTTTAATTAGATTGGACCGTAAATGAAGTTAATAAAAAATTGATTTTTATAAGTTAATAGGTTATAACCCGTGGAAACAACGGGTAAAAAAAAAGTTATAAATAAATCATAAGATAATAATTGACTAATAATAAAAAAAATATTGATTAATTTATAAAAATAGATATTTTTTCTATAAGTTTACAATGATATAATGATTACTTCAAACTACAACAACACATTGGTTTGAATTTCCAATCGACATCATGTATATGTAGATATTTTATAAAATTATGATTTTGTACAATACAATATAAATTTAAATAGATATTTTATAAAATATTATTTATTTTTCTGATATAAAATATTGTTATATCCATTTTTATGATTTGTATTGTTTTAATATGATAAAGAAGTTAGGTTTAATTAGATTGGACCGTAAATGAAG